CTGGGCTGTATGAAATGAAAATAACTGTGAAAAAATCTTTCTCTTATGTTGTCAGTGACTTCACCGCCTTCTAATATTGCCGTTCTGGGCATTCAGAAAAGATTCAAAACCAATAGGTGTGTTTCCTTATATTTGCCTTTACAGCTTGAGTCCCTAAGGTATCACAGTTTTAACCTGTTCTGCATAGCCAGGAAGGCTGGCATTTTTTTCTTCCAAATTCAAAAACGAAAAGCTGAAATTCCCACATAGACACAGGACTTCCAAAATGTTCCGTTAGTGAGCCCTGTCAGACAACAGAAGCCCTGCAGTAAAACTGCAAGAATGGAGACTAGCATCCACTGTTTCAATGGACCTTTCCCGAAGTGCAGGGTAAAGAGAAATGCTTTTGATCCAACAGAAACGGTATGAGGATGAAACCGCAAGAATTATCCAGGAAATTTCAAGGCCCTCTGAAGGAGAAAACAACTAGTAACTCATAGTTTATTGCTGATTTGATTGCAAGTTGACAAGGTTCCTTTTCGTTCAGTGCCTCCATTGCAAAGTTGTGGCCTCTTGCATCCCTTAGACTGTTACTTGGCAGAGACTTAAGCTTTGGGTGGCTGTGGTAACCATCAGGTCTTTGCACTGAATTAGTCATCAGCCAAAACTGGAATCACTTATCTAACCTCCACTGGTTACCTGCTATTCTTCCGCAAAAACCTCACTTTACACAAAATCAGATCCAGAAGCAAAAGGCCAATGTTACAAAAGAAACATTACGTCTGTGTAGCTGTGTGTTCCCTCCACCTAGAGTTCCAGCTTTTTTAATTTCTAATATAACTGACTTTCGAGTTGTCTTGACACCCCCCCGCTACCCTGACCCAAACAGCCAGACAGCCTGCTGGGGTCCCTAAAGAGCAAGGCAAGACATCAAGTGCATTTCTGGCTGTTAAATCTTAGTCCACAATTATTTGCTTGTTAGTTCAAAGAACAAAGGTTTATTTTACAGCATCTGAAGTCAGTACAAATATTTCCCAGTGTGTTTCTCTCCTTTGTTGATGTGGTTTTTGAGGAACTCCTGCTGTGTTTGCAGTCCAAAGGCCGCAGCATGGTGCACATATCTGAAATAAGGCCTGGCTGCAGCTGCAATATAGATTTAGGGTAGAGGAAGGGGCAACACTGCAGAGCTCAAGTGTCCCCTCCCATAGCCAAACTGGGATCCCATACGGCACCAGGTGATGTTAATAGGAGCACAGAGCTACTGCTCCTTTAGTTTCCATTCTCCTCTCCACCTCCCAGTAAATATGTTCCTGACCAGTCCCATTTTTTTTCCACTCCCCTTCCAGTCAGATTTTTCACCTTCTCTATGTGCTATTTTTTGGCTGGTTTGCCCGCCAGCATTTCTGAGCTGGCCCTTGGGTGGGGGCCGATGCTGTCTTACTGCTAAGCTGTGCAGCCCCTGGTTTATGAGCTCCTGTGCCTTGGCTGGGGATTACTGGGCATCGCCAGAGCACTAAATTTTGGATGGACTCAATCGGTTGAAATAGCGTCTCCAAAATGCAACCATTGTCATGCAGGTGCATGTAGAAAGAATCACAAGGAAAATGGAAGGGAGTGAAATTCCCACAGGTTTAGTTATCCAGGGAATCATGAAAACGGGGAAGCTGTGAAATTTGACCTTTAAAAAATACACAAGGCCATATATTTCAGCCACTTCCTGTGATATAAATCAGGAGTATCTGTTTGGGACTGGGTAAGAGCCTTAGATGCAGCACTTTTAACCCTTTATCTGTGGTGGATCGAAGTGCCATCTGTGTTGCATGTAGTGGAGAGCTGTGCCTGCAAGAACTTGTGCTTGGGCTCTGTGGGGTGGTGCAGCCATACAAAGCGGCTCCCTGTGGTGTCTGCACGGTGGAAGAGTGCATCTGCCTGCACATCCCTCTTGCTCACCGAGGAAGTTTGTTTCGGAAGGCACCTGCTGGGTCTGGGGCAATGTGCAAGCATGTTCTTGTGCATGCGTGAGCCTATGTGCTGTGTGTGCACATCTGATTTTCTGCAAGGGATCAGTGGCACGTGTAGATACCTCCTGCATGTGTTCCCAAGTGTGTCTGTACGTGGCAGAGCAGCGGGAGGGAGGCAGCTTGCTTACTTACCTGGGTGGGAACCATCCTCTAAGCCAAGGGGAGCAAGGAAGGGGCTGGGGTGGGGGCTTTGCCGGCAGTGTGAATGTGTAATGTGTCATCCATTCCTGCCATACGTACACACCACCACCCCTGCAGCTTGCTCTGCTGCTGTAGCTCCAAGACCTGTTGTTTTTCAGGTCACTGCACTCTCGAACAGATAGCAGCTTCCTTGCTATTTTCCCTGACGCACGTCACATTACATTGGTTTTGTTTGAAGCCGGCCCCTCTGATCCTGTCGCTAACAATAAGGAATCCTTTCTCACTGCTGCTCCCAAGCCATATCCTGACACATTCGCTCCTATGGGTCACGTCCCCCCATGCATCTTTGGGGCAGTGGGGGAGGGTTACCTCTGTAGCTGGCACAACTGGCTCCTTGCAAAAATGGAGATTGAGCTGGCATTTAGGCTGGGATTTTAATGTTGTGCTATTTTAATAGCTGTTCACAGCAATCTGTGGAGGATGTTGCCCCAGCCACTGTTGTGTTTGTGTTTGGATGGCATCAGGCTCTGTGATGGGCCCGTGTGTACTGACGGGGGTAGAGGAGGGAAGAAAGCACCGTGCACCTTTCTTCCCACTTCCACACTTGGCCATCCCAACAAAACCATAATCCTGACTTGTCTGTTCTGATGGAGGAACCCAGAAGGACCCTGAGCTCAAAGCTGGATGCGTTGGCCAGCCTTCCAGCCCCCTGCCAGTGTGACATGGGTACAAAATGACCTTGGAGAGTGGGGAGTGGGGACCACAGAGCTGTTTGTTGGCCTTCACCCAACTGTCTTGCATTTGGCTGATCCTGTGGTGAGGCAAATTGGGACCCAGGATACCAGGGTTTATTCCAGGCCTTAGAGGACAGCTCGGTAGACATACTGATTAGACTGGGGTAGGGAAGGGCAAATTGAAGCTAAGATGCTTGGTTACATAGCAGCTGTAGAAACAGTGATCTTGGAGAGAACGAAGAGGAAACAGAAGCCAAGGGTCCTGGAATTTATTCACTCTGCCTGGGTTGGTCTGCTGTATTTCCTAAGGTACCTCTTGGACTTCACATATTGTTCAATAAGGGTATAATTGCCCAGGCAGCTTTTCTTATTACCATTTGTATTGGATCGTTCAAAGGAAAGGGCTAATGAATAGAAGGAAATTATTAATCTTTTGTTTTCCTTTGGGGAGGGGAGGACAGGGGAAGCCACAGAAACTTTTGCAGGTGTGAGGAGCTTGGGAGGACCCTGCATACTCACCTCTGGAAGCATTTCAGCCAACAGCAAATCATTTCCATGCCAGGCATGTTTTCAACATTAGGCTGTTTTGTGCTTAAGTGTCCCTATCCTCCTGCTTTGGACTGTAAGCCTCATAGAAGGTTGATGTTTCTGTGTTTGCCCCTAGGGGACAGGAAGCTCTTTGTGGGCATGTTAAATAAGCAGCAGTCTGAGGATGACGTGCTCCGGCTCTTTGAACCATTTGGGGTCATTGATGAATGTACGGTGCTCCGTGGACCTGATGGTAACAGCAAAGGTGTGAACCCCTCTGTGTGTCGTGCCCTTTCTCCCTGCTCTTCAGGTAGCGCTCACCTGCCTCACCACCTGGGCCTCCTTTCCACTGGGGCACTTAGTCCCCCGCCCCATCTTTAGGGGGACCCGTCTCACAGCCAGGCATTCGGAGCAGGGCAGGAGGAGTTGGCTGCTGCATGGAAAGATTGGGGAAGATGGGCAGAGACCCAGGTGAAAGGAGGGGAAGCAGAGCACGATGTGTAGCTGAGTTACCAGGATCACTAGTGAGCCTGTTGGCTCAGTCTGGGTATGCAATTTGAAATGTTTGTACACACAATTCGGAGTGCATAGAGAACTTGGGGAAGAGGTAATCAGGGGCAAGGGTAGAGACGGTGGCATCATCTATAGAGTATATTATCGAAGTAACAATTTGAGACCCTTCTAGGATAGAGGACTTGGGATGAGTCATCCTTTTTGTTTCTTGCTTTCTTGGGGTGGCTTTCCTTTGCCCTGCTTGAGATCCAGATACTGTCTCTTGTGTGATGATGCAAGGGGCACTTTCACAGCAGTCCTGTCACTGCAATCTTCTGTGCTCTTTCTGTCCCTTTCCAGGCTGTGCTTTTGTAAAGTTCTCATCCCACACAGAGGCTCAGGCAGCAATCCACGCACTCCATGGCAGCCAGACAATGCCCGTGAGTATAAGGCCAGGGTACCTACCCTCTTCCTAATCCTCTTCCCATCACCCTCTTGCAGGGACCTCCCCTCACTGTCCAAAACCATGACAGGTTCAACTGCAGTTTCCAGCTCGTATGGTTGCGGGAGGTGGGAGGTGTGTGTGTGCACACAGTCTTTGGGAACCATCCTGTCTCCTGGGCTGGTGTGTGTATCTATGTCTGTCCAGACTGGTAGTGACAGCACTTACAGCTATAAAGGCTAAATAAAAGAGAGCCAAGAACCAGGCCATGAATTTGTCTTGGAGACAGCTACCTGGAGTAGCTCAAAACTGAGCAGGGTTTTTGCAAGCTAACAATTCAGCAACGTGAGCAGTCAGGACTCCAGTGTCTGAGCACACTCCCCACCTTCTCTTATTTAGGCAGTAGAGGAGGCCTCTGGGGCAGGCTGGGTGTGGATGGGAACGCTTTGTGCATTGTGTGGGGTTGTGTAGCTGCAACTGTGCCTTCTTGTGCAAGTGGAGTTGTGATCTTGTCTCTCACAATCTCTAACCTGGATTGGGGCACCTTGTGGGCCGGATAGTGCATTGCTGCAGCAGGGGTATTTCCAGCTGCCAGGAACTGCTCTGCATATCCAGCCAAGCTCATGGTGGTGGAAAGATGGTGTTTGTGGCTGACAATGTCCTGGGTGTTCCTGGCTGCATTGTCACCTGGTGAATGCAGCCAGGGATGTGTACACTCACGGTGCAGCTGTGCAAGGCCCAGGGTGTGAGGGGAAGGGCGGGAGAGGGAAGGGTTGGATGGATGGATGGATGGATGGGGAAGGGCACAGCCCAGCTTCCAGGCAGCTCCCGAACACTTTCACGCCAATATTTGCTCTTCTGCTCCTCTTCCCGCTCCTCTCTGCTGCCTGTTCTGCCCCATCCCACCTTGCCTGACTGCTGACTCTCTGGCTGTCCCGCGGCCGCTTCTCCCCCTGCCTCCTCTCTCTGTCTCCTCTCTCTGTGCCTAGGGTGCCTCCTCCAGTCTAGTGGTGAAGTTTGCTGACACAGATAAGGAGAGGACCCTCCGTCGTATGCAGCAAATGGTGGGGCAGCTGGGGATATTCACTCCATCTCTCACCTTGCCGTTCAGCCCATACAGCGCCTATGCGCAGGCTGTGAGTATCGCGCGTGTGTGTGTGGGGAAAGGCTGCCCGCTTGGCTATGGGGCAACACCATACCTGGGCTGGGAGACCACAAACGGGTCTCTGTAACAAACACGTCAAAGCTTTCCGGCACGTGGGAGTTGTTCCTGGCTTCAGGTTCTCCAGTCAGCAGCCTAGTCTTTGTGCATTTCTCTCCTGGAAGGGGTGACAGGAGAGAGCTGGGACCTTCTCAAAGTGAGGCTGGATTTCTCTGATGTGGTGTAGACTGGCAGAGGTGTCTGGGAACAGGTCAAGCATGACCCAGTGTTTTTCTGTCTTGTTTTGAGGACAGCTCAGAGCCACGATTCCTGGGTGATGTCTGCCAGACATGGCAGTCTGCCAACTTGTGAACTCTTCCTCTGGGTCTATGGCACAAATGTGGGTCTCTCTTTGGTTTTGGAGCACCGCGAGAGCCCTGGGCCCAGCTTCATCTGTTTATTTCTCTGCTGAAATTCTGAGGAGGGCCCTAGTCCCCCTAGTGCTGTCCTTGGCTCCCAGGGTTTTCCCTCTTGGCTAGTGTGACTGGGGGGTTTGCAGGATGCTGGAGAGGGAGCAGTGGGTAGCAGAGGGTCAGAGGTGTTTCAGCAGTCTCGCCTCCTCTGGCAAGACGCCTCCTCTGGCAAGACTGGCTGTGCTTTGGATCTTCGTGAGAGAACCTCATTGCCTTGGAGCGATGGTGGTGACTGCCATTGATGTTTGAGGTAGGTCCCAAGCCCAACAAGTCCCGGTTCAGCTGTGGTGGAGCATCTTTTGGGTCTTCTTCTTGACTGTCACTTTCAGGTCTCTGCTACCAAGTATAAAGCCCACGGAAGGAGGCTCAGAAATTGGTCAAGGCATGAGAGATGCTTGTGTCAAACAAAGAACTCAAAAGTAGATACTGTTACTGAAAGTAATTTGCCAGGGGTGGGGGGGGTGCACAAATAAACGTGTTCTTCTCATATACGTGGACACCTCTTTCACCTCTGGCTTCAGTGGCTACTCAGTGTGTCTCCCTTCCATCTACATGACAGAGAAGGAACTGTTTCTCAGTTGTTGGCCATTTCCTCTCAAAGAATCCCCAGAAGCTGCCAAATGCCATTTGCCACATGAATGTGTGGCAAGAGCATGAGTAGCAAAAGAAAAGAGGCGATACATATGAGGCTCCATACTGTTGGGGAATTTTGGGAACCAAACATAGAATTTGTCCAACACAGATCATTTGATTCTTCTTGTTTAATGAGGCTGAGAACAGCTATACCATTCCAAGCACCAGGGCTTCCAGCAGAAGAATGGTTTAGAGGGGAGAACCCTTTCTGACCAGACACCAGTATCTCTTGCCAAGACCAATCTTTTCTATCCAGCCCTGTAATCCACAAGCCAGCTATACCTGACTTCTAAGGTTGTAGCTTAGCTCAGCTGTGGGTCAGCTATGAGATGATCATTCTGGTGTATCTTCTGCTGTTGTGGAGATGGCGCTAACTTGGGCACGGTGTGATGGTGAAAGAGGCAGGAATGGACCACACGGTGAGGTTATGATGGCAGAAAGTATTTTATTAGCTTATGGTCCAGGATGTGTAAGGAAGGAGAGCAGCGAGACCTTCTAGACTCTGTCTTTAAGTGCCCTCCAATCTTCAGAAACTCCTGCTGATGACAAGAAGCCAGTCAGGCCTAGGCTGTGCTCCTTGCTTATCTGCATTTTCTTTCTCCTCAGTTGTGTCTGTAAATTTGTTGCTTTGTCTCTGATTCTTCATTGGCCTTCCTGCTCTGTGACTTTATTTTGGCTTTCCCCTTGACTCAAGACTCAGCCTGTCTCTCACTCTTTCAGGTTTTTTCCTCCTTTTCCTTTTCCTTTCCACTGGTTTTGGTTCTCTCTCCTTCTTCTTTCTGAGGCACTGACCTCACACCTGATTGTTTCTTCTCTTGTGTCATCCTAGTCTTTGGTCTCCCTTCTCGTGGAGGAGAGATCCTAGCCAGTTCTCATACACATACAGTGTCCCAATCAGAGGGAGAGGGTATCAACCCTTTGACATGCCATCTAATATCTCTGGAAATGGGGACAGAAGGGAGGGACTTCCTTGCTGAATCTCCTTACAGCACCGCCAAATGTCCTGCCATGGGCAGCTCTTGGGAGCTGGGACCTCTGGTAAGCCAGCACTCAAGGGAACTCCAACATAGTTCGTGCTTGCATGGTGCAGGGCTTGGAGTAGTAGATGCTGCACCCAAGGTTACTCGCAGGCCCAGGAGATGCAGCTAGCAATTATGGATGTGGCTGAATCAGGCTGAGGGGAGCGAGTGCTGCTGGGGTGAACCGGTGCATCGTAGGCATTGGTTCTTACATTCGCAGTTTAATGCGCCAACAACTTTCTCTCCCTGTCCCCACGGGATCTGCTGCCTCGCCAAGCCAAAGCAGTCCCCACAGTCCCTGGCCTAGGAAGAAGAAGTTTGGAGCCTGGGTTGTTTGGTTTTTGTGGGTTTTTTTTTTTTCAGTTGGATGTTTTAAATTTATATTAATTGCATTTTCCTTTAAAAACTATCTCAAATTAAACATTAAATAATCACAAACTATGATAGGTCTAAAGTTATTCTCATCTATTAAAATATACAAAATAAGATATTAAAAATAGTCAAACAGTACTTGTCAGCTGATACTGTTTGTAAGAAAAAATTCTCATACTTATCTGGGAAATACGACTGGCTAAGCATCTGGAAGCAGTTTATTTCAGTGCTTAAACCAGGTTTTGATCCCAGGTGCCTCTTCTGCAAGTGAAAAGTAAGTATTTCCTTCATTTCAGTTTATTCAACAAGTTGAATTCAGTGATTAGTTCAGATGGAATCAGGGAACTGATAGGGAGCTGAAAAAATAATAATCTGTCAATACAAAAGAGGCCTGAAGTCTTAAAAAAGCAACCAGTGCAATTTACTAACTGCTTATAATGCTTGAATATTTCTTGTATTTCATAAATCAGGTAGTTCTAAAGACAAAACAGTTTGTTCACACCCCCCCCCCTTCCTTTCTGCTCTTATGGTTCATTATGGTAATTTTATTTAAGTAATGAAAACAATTTCAGAATACTAGTTTGGTGCATGTGCAGTCGGATGCAGGTCTTGTTCCAGCCAGAGCGTGGCACAGTACAGGCATTAATGAGAAAAAAGAAAATCAATATTCATCTAGTAAATAAGGAATGCATTGGTTCCTGCATCCTTAAATGAGGACAGTGTGAAGATAGGACTAGGAATATGTGCAGACTGCTTGCCATAGGGATACCTTCCTTAGCAGACTTCTGTGCTTTCAGGAGGGCCACGTTTTGCTGTAACCCTGGCTCAGGGTGAGTGGTTCCTAGTGGTGTGAGTGAGTCCTGCTTCAGGGGAATCACTCCAAAGACACTGTGGTGGCAAATAGATGATTTCAGGGCGCTTGCTTTCTGGAGTCAAGCGGTAGCGAACCCCTTTGCTGTCAGTCAGTCCTGCCTGCCTGCAGAGACCCTGCTCCGTGGTGTGCCTGGGTGTCCCACCGCTGCCCCAAAAAGGGCTCTCCCCTATCCCAGCACTGCCCGGCAGAGTCAGTTCCACCCCAGCTGCTCTGCTTGTGCCAGCTTACAGAGACAGCAATGCCATGAAATTAGGCAATTCCTCTTCTTTTTACTCAACAGCAATAATCAGCTTCTGTGGAGAGGAAACTAAGAGAAGGTTTAACTAGCCATGAACTTTTCAGAGTTACCAAATCCTACAGCTGGGCGAAACTGGCTTACTGACTTAGCCATTTGTGGGTGAGGCAGGTTACTTGAGTGGTGTGTATTTATGTTGCAGAGCAGACAGTGGGATATGGTTGTAGTTAATGTAAGGAGGATTTGTGTTTTTCTTGGGTTTTGCCATGTGCCCCAGCTCCTCCTGTGGAACTGTGCAGTTTCCAGAGAGCCGTGCCTGTGCTTCCCCTGCTCTTCTTGCTTGATGGTGAAGACAAGGCTTATAAAGGGGCTAGATAATTTCACATCCAGAACTAAGTCTTTGTTGCCACTGCACACTGAGCGCAGTCTTATTTAATCTCATGCGCCAGAGCACCCACTGATGGCCAAATAGGACCAGAAGGGTTTTTTTCTTCTTCCTCCTAACCCTCCTCCCAACCTCGTGTCCCACCCTCCCCACCGCCTACCCCTTCTTTTTGCATTGTGCGTCTCTGCCTAGTCAGGTGTGTTATGGCACCACAAGGAGCTGCCATCTCCCAACCCCAGGGCGGAAAGACTGAGCTCAGTGGATCACGGGGCACGGCAGAGCGTGCCGTAAGAGCCGGGCCTGGACGGACAGCTGGCTGCGCAGCAGGGTGCACATACCAGAATGAGCTCCACGTGTCTCCCAGCAGCACGGTCTCCTTGTTGAGGCTGGGCAAAAGGAGAGAGATGAGGACCCCGTTCCTCCAGGCAAAGCTGTGTTATTTAATAACTGGCACTGTCCCAGGAGAAGCGGCAGCGCTCAGAGAAGGGGCTGTGGCTGGGAGGAAATGTCGTTGCTGTGCCCGACAGCGGTAGGGCCTGTGGTGAGAGGGTGCTGCTGGGTGCCAGGAGCCCCTTCCCCGCTGCAGGAGCTCTCTGGGCAGGGAGGGCCCGTCCCGATGGTCTGAGTGAGCGAAGACCCCTCAAAGCTGCTGGCCTGCGGAGAGGGCGAGGGTGGGTGGAGGGCTGCCCGGCAGTGGCCCTGGCTTCGCGGAGGATGCCCGCCTAGCCCTGTCCCCCGGCTGCAGGGCAGGAAGCTGTGCCCAG